AAGGGAAGGAATGCAGTAAATATGGGATAAGTAAAGAACACATCAGAGATCTTCTGACCAATTTGAATGAATTCAAATCAACAGAGCTGGATGCTATTCACCCAAGGGTACTGAAGAAATTAGCAGAAGAAATCTCAGAGCCACTAGCAATAATATTTACAAAGTCATGTATGACAGGAAAGATTCCAGAAGGCTGGAAAAGGGCTAATGTTGTGCCCATCTTTAAGAAGGGGGAAAAGGAGGAGCTGGGGAAATATAGATGAGTCAGTGTGACTTCAATACCTAGGAAGCTGCTAGAGCAATGTATAAAACATTCCATTTGCAAATACCTGGCAGATGAAGAGGTAATCACTAGCAGCCAACATAGATTTACCAAGAACAAATCATGCCAAACCAGCTTGATTTCCTTCTTTGACAGGGTAACTGATTTGCGGTAGATAGGGTGAATGCGATGGAGATAATATACTTGGACTTCAGCGAGGCTTTTGACACAGTCCTACATGACATTCTGATAAGTGAGCAGGAGAAATGCAGGCTCAACAGCACTACCATTAAGTGGATACATAATTGGTTAAACAATCGCAAACTGAGAGTCACTGATAATGGAATGATGTCGGGTTGGAGGGAGGTTTCAAGTGGGGTTCCACAGGGGTCTGTTCTGGGTCTGGTGGTGTTTAACATCTTTATTAATGTCCTGGATTTAGGAATAGAGAGCATACTGATCAAGTTTGGAGATGACACAAAGCTAGTGGGGGTTGCCAATACTTTGGAAGATAGAGCTAAAATTTAGAGAGAGCTTGATAAATTGAAGAACTGGGCTATAGACAACAAAATGAAATTCACCAAAGATAAATGTATGGTGCTACACTTAGGGAAGAAAAACGAAATGCACAAATATAGAATGAGGGGAAACTGGCTTGGCAGCAGCACTGCTGAGAAGAATCTGGGAGTTGTGGTGGATCACAAACTCCACGTGAGTCAGCAATGCAATGCTGTTGCAAAAAAAGCAAATGCAATATTAGTTTGCATTATCCGAGACATAGTATGCAAGTCCCGGGAGGTGATAGTACCACTCTACTTGGCGCTGGTTAGGCCTGAGCTGGAGTACTGTGTCCAATTTTGGTCACCAGTGTATAGAAAGGATGTAGAGAAACTGGAAAGGATCCAGAGGCGAGTGACAAAGATGAGCAAAAGGATGGAGTGCAAGCCTTATGAGGAAAGGCTGAAGGAACTGGGTACGTTTAGTTTGGAAAAGAGAAGGTTAAGGGGGGACATGATAGCAGTACTCAGATATGTGAAAGGACACCATAAAAAAGATGGAGAAAAGTTCTTTTTTGCCACAGAGGGCAGGACAAGAGGCAATGGGTTCAAACTACAGCATAACAGATTTAGATTAAATCGCAGGGAAAACTTCCTAACTGTAAGAATAGTAGGACAATGGAACAGACATCCTAGGGAGGTCATGGAAGCTTCTT